ACCTTCCAGAACTTTCTCTATTACCCTGTGCCTGGATTGTGTTTCTATAATTTGAAATTTGAAATTTTGTTGTTGTTGTTGTTCACTGTGGCTAATCACATATCTTTGCAGTGCTGTGATAGTAACCATTTGATGTGATTTTCCTCATGCTTTCAGTATGCCTGATGGGTCTCATCACAGGGGATGTGTTTGGACCTTGGCAGGGTATTTGTGCTCTGGTAGGCGTGTTGGATCCGCACTTTGCCTTGCTGTAGCGACTACTGTATTGATTCCTTTTCGAAGTTGGCAGATGATGTGAGAATGAAAGGTCCCATGGCGCCAAGTAGGGAAATAAGTTTTGATGTGGAAACCAAAGTGGAGGCACTCCTAGGCCTTGCCAGCCCCTCTTTTTTCTGCCACGGGTAGCATTCATTTTGTTGTATGGTTGGCATCAGCCATGGTGTCACCATAGCTGAAATTTTTACATGGATTGAATTTTACATCCATCAATTTAAGTGCATTACAAGAATTCGCAGATTTTTTTCCCCCTCGTGGGCAATTTCAGTCTGAGATTGATGTGGAGTACAGGGGCCTTGTCTTCCAGCTCGCTGGTCCTTGCCATGCGCACCTCATTTCTGTGTCCTGTGTTGGTGAAATGCACACAGTGGAGATGTCGTTGGTTTAAGTACATGCAAGTGGGTGGTGAGTCTTGCTGTGTATCTTCTAGGGCTTTGGTGTTCCTACTACAGCGTTTTCCTCTAGCGGCAGATTTCTCTCTCCTCTGTCCTTTCTCTTCCCCTCTCTTTCTCTTCCCTCTCTTTTCCTCCCCTTTCTTCTCTTCTCTCTCTCTCCTCCCTCTCTTCCCTCCCTTCTGTTTCCCTCTCCTTTCTCTCCCTCCACCCTGTGCCGGCACGAACTGAAGCTGTGTGTTGAACACAGATGGGCTCTTTGCTGTTATTTTGCTCCCAGCAGAAAACAACTTGTGTGGGGTGGGTTTTCCTCGTGTTCATTGTTTGTGGGCACGGTGTCAGAAAGCGTGAGAAACAGTTGCTTTGATTCATGGAAGTAAACAAATGTCCTTGTTCCCCAAGACAGCCTTTAAGTCCTGAAATCTAAAAAGGTTGCTTCTTGGAGAAAGAATGAGGAGTAGCTGAGATGCGATGCATTGAGGAGCTGCTGGGAGAAGTTCAGCCAGAGACCTTTGAAGAGTAGTTTTGTAATTTTGGGTTTTGTTTTTGGGTCATCTGTAGGGCGTTTGCCTTGCACGCAGCCAGCCCGGCTGAGCCAGGTTCGATTTCTCCGCCCCTCTCGGAGAGCCTGGCAAGCTGCCGAGAGTATCTCACCTGCATGGCAAAGCCTGGTAAGCCACCCGTGATGTATTCAAGATGCCAAACACAGTAACAAGAAGTCTCACAATGGAGACGTTACTGGGCCCGCTCAAGCAAAATTGATGAACACTGGGAGGACAGTGTCACAGTGTTTTTGGGTCATGCCCGGCTTGCTGCTGGTTCTGTACTCAGGGGACCACTCCTGGTGGGGCTCAGGGATGCTGAAGATCCAAGCCCAATTGACTGTGCTCAGGGCGAGCGCCTCACCTGCCATGTGCTCACACTGGCCCCTGAAGAGTAGGTTTGGAGGCGAGAGAACTGCCTGCTTGGTGGCCACAGAAATCTGCCCCCTCAAATTCCATCTCCCACTGATACCCCCTCCATCCTGATCAGAATGCTCAGTGTGGTTTCTGGAATGAAATGGGGGTCCCGGCTTATAAAACTGTCATGGAGACGATTTTTTCCCCCTCATAATCCTAGACTTTGCCATCTTCCTACTTATCTCACCAGCTCCCTGCCATAATAACAGCATAATAAAAAAAATTACATTGTTGCCTTATTTTCTTGCTGCTTTGCAGTATCTTTTTTATTATTATTTATTTATTTTTTTATTAGTGAGACACCATGAGGTACAGTTGTAGACTTACAAATTTTTGTGCTTGGGTTTCAATTATACAGTGATCAAATACCCATCCCTCCACCAGTGCCCATTTCCCACCACCGCGGATCCCGGTATCCCTCCCACCCCCCATCCCCCCATCCTCCCATGCCTCTGTGGCAGGGCATTCCCTTTTGTTCTCTCTCCTCTTGGGTGTTGTGGTTTGCTTTGCAATATCTTACTGTTACCCTAATGTACCACTCAAGTAGCTTGCCCTGCAGTGCCTTTGAAATCAAACTTTTAGAAAGATGATGTCAATTGAAGAGAAATCTAAGTTTGGCATGGTTTTTCCAAAGTTTACTTAATTTCGCTGCGTAAATGCCTCTGGGTCAGGTCCCCAGAATTCCTCTTCTCTTTCTTTGCATAATGCCTGGCCTCCCTGTCTTGTGGTGAGAAAGTCAAGTCACTAGCATGATCATCCTGAATCAGGCTGAACCATTCCCCTCGGCCAGCTTCTGTAATTTCACTGTCATGGCCTTTCTTAAATCCACCGTTACCCCACCCGTCCTCCAATTATGGATGTTTAAGAATCAAGGGACTTAATCAGAGGTGTGTCCAGGTCAAACTAAGAAAAATCCCACTGTGCTTGTACATCCAGTTCATTCCCACAAGAACCTGAAAGAGCACATGACATTTGACTTTGCCGGTTCTGCCCGATGGTGCCTGCATGTACCATCAAAACGGGATGCAGGCTGGTGCCTTCTCAGTACTAGCAGAATGTTTAAACCTGAGTGCCTGGGTATGGAGCTGAGATTTCGCTGGGAAAGGAACACACCAACTGGGCAACTTCTCAGGCTACGCACGTTTTTCTGTGGAGCCCCTCCAGCCAGACAGGAAGTCGGGAACCCTTCTCCTCCGAAGGTTGATGGCAGGTTAGAATGAGGACTGATAACAGTGGGTGCCTAGTGGGTGCTTTGACAGCGTCCGACCTCATGTCACTGGGCATCAGTGTCTACTTCCCCACTTGGCCTCAGGCCTGGTCTCGGGGGATGGATTGTAGCCACCCCCATCCCCCCAATATCTTTCCTCCCAGCTCTGGACCTTGGCACTTGTCCTCCAAGTGGAGCCTCTGAACTTCTTGAGATGCTTTTCCTGGGTTGAAATCATTCCTGATTCCCTTCTGGGATTTTCTTTTCTGAAGAGATGATTTTTTTTTTTTTTTTTGCGCTTTTTCAGACACTCCAGACGGGGCGTCCTGGGCCTCCCCCCTCCACTCCTGTCTGTCCTCCATCACTCCAGGCCAGTCCCTCCTTGTCCTCTCTACTCCTTCTGTCCCCACTGTTTTTCTGGCTTGCCTGCCTGCAAAACTGGCCGCCCTGCAGCCGGCCAACTGCCTCTTTTTCCCTCACACATCCGCTGCCAAGAGGATGGTAAAGCCAGAGCCGTGCCACCAGCGACCCTGAACGCCTCCCAGTCCCCCCATTTCTCTTTATCTCAGAAGCACCCTCGGCTCCTGTGCCGATAAACACCTGCCACGCCTTGCTCTGCCATCTCTGCCCACGCCTGAAATCTCTCAGTGGTTCCCCGTCGCCCTCTCAGTAAACTCCAAATCTAGGGCTGCCAGTTTGGAGACTGACTTGGTCTGTTTCCTGCCCAGTTACCTGGGTCCGTTCAGCCTGTAAGATCTGTCCAGTCTTGGGCCCCCCATCCCCAATTCAGGGAGTGGAAACTTTCTCAGCTCTCCGCATTCTGTCTCTGTCTCAGTGACTCTCACCCTCTCTCCCTCCAAATGCCCCCTCCCATCCCCGTTAGCTCTCTTTTCTCTTTCATACGTGGAGGATGTTCCAAAGGGCTTTCTCCAAGGTGGTACCCTGAGAATCAGTGAAGTGTCCCCTCTGCGTTTGGAACCTCCCAGGCAGGGTCTGGGCCTCTTCTCTGGGGGGTGCTTGCTGGGCCCCAGGGTTTGATGCAAGAGCCAGAGCAGGTGGTCCTGTGAGGGCTCCACAGGGCTGGGGCTTCCCCCTCCCCCACCAGCCAGAATTGCCCCTTCCAGGTTTGCATCAGGTCACGCCTGCAGAAGGACTCAGGTGCTGCTGGTGCTGGAAGTTGGTGAGCCTCAGACTCCCACCTCCACTCTGTCTCTCCACCCCGCTCTCCTTCTTGTAGTACCTTCCTTCAAGTAGGGTGTGTCATCTAGTTGGGACATCAAGCTGCTCCCTTCTGCGGGCAGGGGCAGGACTTGTTTGCTCAGAGTGGACCTGGAAATGCGGACTTGGATCATGTAATCTTGGGAGTGGCAGTGAATGAATACATTTGCAAATGGTTCATTAAGCAGTCCTCTGAGATAACCCTGGCAGTCAGCTGACCTTTATTGAGACTTCCTGGCACCAGGGATTATTCTAATCACCTTATTGTCATTCATCTCTTTCTCACTTGCTGTACCCCATGGGGTAGGTCCAATCATGTGTTTGAGATCTGTATATAGTGACAGTTTTGGGGGTCTTTGACTGGCCTTTTAACCACTACCCTGCCCCGCCTCTGCTGGTGTAGCTGAGGGCATTGCTAGGGTTGGAGAAGGATGGTGGGGGGCTGGATTGCACAGGTTTTCTGTCCCAGAGGAATTGTAGTTCAGAGTGAGAGACTGGAGGGGGGGTGGTGCGGCAGATTATCCAACAGGACATGCGCGATTTCACAGTGGACTTTCACATGCCGGTGTGGGAACACAGAAGAGGAGATTTGTACTTGCATAATTTCTTTTTGGGGGGAATGGTCATTTATAGCCTAGCAAATAACTAAGTAAGCCACTTTTCTAAGGATTTGAATACAGTCTGATATTGCCAGATCACGAAATGGAGCCTGCAGGGCTAGATGTTTTCTTTGCTTTTTACAAAGGGAAGATCAATAAAGGGGCTCCTTATGAAGATCCTGTGGATTCCCAGGTCCTCTGTGCTCAGAAAATGAAATCATGTTTCCCCAAATGAAAGTGACACCCAGCTTTGTTTTTTGAAGATGTCGTGTTCCCAAGTAGCCTCCTCTGTGTAGCGTGCAAATCCTGGTCTTTGAAATTTACCTTTTTGTTCTTGTCGTTCTTACAGGAAGATCATGAAGAAAGTGTCCATGGAGCCATCTGAGCGGCTGGCCAGTCTCCAGGCTCTGTGGGACAGCCAGACGGTGCCCGAGCAGGGCCCCTGCGGTGAGCTTGCCTTTCCAGCCCAAAACGCATGCTTGTCCCCCGGCAGGAAGCGAAGGCTATTTCTAGTGTGCTACTGTAAAGGTACAATTAGTTTTAAGGTGTAATTAGCACTGCACAGACTTCAGATTGGTGGACAGACGTTCCTATATTTAAGCCATCTTATATCCTGGTATGTACTTATTATAGAACAGGAGCCAGAATTCGTAGTTTTTTGGGTTTTTTTTGTTTTTGTTTTTGTTTTTTTCCAAATGGGAGGAATAACCCGCGTTGTCCACACCAACCGTATTTAAGCGTGGAAATAGGGGCTGGGAAGTGATTTAGCCACTGAGTCCCTTCTGTCATCTGTTTCAGGTGGATTCTCTCAGATGTACGCCTGCGTTTGCGACTGGCTTGGGTTCTCCTACCGGGAAGAGGTGCAATGGGTAAGTGGGTCTGGGTGCAGCACGCGCCCGAGAATAGAATCTGTCTGGATTTGCCGTCGGTGCTTTTCCGTGATTGAATTTTGAATTCCATCTCTCACAGGACGTGGATACAATTTACCTGACACAGGACGCCCGGGAATTGAATTTGCAGGATTTCAGCCACCTTGACCATAGGTAAGCGGCTTGTTGGGGGTTGTTTCTTCAACTCTCTCTTCTGTTGTCCGAACGGTGTGTATTTGCAGACAGTCTCGGGATGGTTGTCTTTCCAGTAATTGTTCCAAATGTGTTCCTCATTGTGTGAGGGTGAACATATGTGCCTCAAATCCAGCCTTTGTTGCTTAGAAAATGTGTAGTTTTATCACAGAGACACTCTAATTCTCCGGTTCTTATATCAGTTCACAAATGTTTGTTAATTTTTCCTTGTATGGAAACTAGAAAGATAGAAAGAAAGAAAGAAAGAAAGAAGGAAGGAAGGAAGGAAGGAAGGAAGGAAAGAAAGAAGGAAAGAGAAAAGAAAAAGAAAATGCAGTATCATTTGATCAGGTGTAGATGAGACAGTACGTGGCTTCCACTAAGTCAGAAATTCAAAAGATCAGCAAAAAGGCAAAGTGGTTCAGCTTTTCCCAGTGTCTTATTTTTACTGAAAAGCAGAGTTCCTTTGTGCAGCAAAAGATACTACGTTAGCATGGAAAAGATTTATTGCACGTTATTTTTCAAGGAATTAATATATAGTTTCAATTTGCATTTTCATTTCTCATATGACAAATACCCAAAAGATCACATCCAAACAAAAGCTTGGTCATGTTTAAGACTATGAAGGAATCTGGGGATAGCACCACTGAACCCTGATTCTGCAGGCTGCTTTCTCCTCTGACTGCCTATGTAATTAGACTTTTGCTTTTATTGGGAAATACCAAGTAAAATACTTAATACCTTCCCTTTTCATTTCTCAGTTCACTTTCTGCTTAACCATGCAGGAAATCTCTTGGCCAAAATATGTGTAGGAAGTCTCCTCATATGCAGGAAGGAGAGAAGTCTGGGCAGGAGAAACATACCCAAAAGTTCCACCAAAACAGGGAGCAAGTCTCAGTGAGAGACAGCACCTCACCACAAACACAGGCATGGTCAAACCCGCCCCACTGTCCCTGGGAGATCCATGCTGCAGTGAAGTGGGCTAAAACTATGAAGAGAGGACACTGCAATAGTGGGGATAATGCCAGGGGGTGGAAACAGGATTTAAGATGGTGTCTGGATGACGGGGGAGATACTGGGAAGGTTGCAGTGCATATTTTGCATGCAGGACCCCTGGATGCAATCTCCAGCCCCATGTGGCACCCCACTCATCAAATTGGGAGCAGTTCTTAACTGTTTCCTGCTGTGCCCTCTCCAAAAACAAAACAAAACAAAACAAAACAGGTAATTGGGCTATTACCAATATCTATCAGTCAGAGGGATAAGAAGTGGGTGATAATAATTTGTGGAATATAAAGTAACATAATAGGAGAATAACATCTAAGAATGGTAGAGATAAAGGCCAGGAGCGGGGGTCCCATGGCTTGGAAGCTGATCTCATGTGCTGGGGGGAAAGGCAGGTGGGATGGAGAAGAGACCACCAAGTAAATGATGGTTGGAGGGATCACTCGGGATGGTAGATGCGTGCTGAAAGTAGACTATGGACCAAACATGACGGCTGCTTGGTGGCTATGTTGCAAACCAAGCCAAAAGGAGAGAGAAGAAGGAAATGTGTCTGCCACAGAGGCTGGGAGTGGGGAGGAAGGCCTAAGGGTGGCGGAAGGGACACTGGGAACGGTGGTGGAGAATGGGCACTGGTGGAGGGATGGGTACTCGAACACTGAATGAAACATAATCACGAAAATTTGTAAGTCTGTAACTGCATCTCATGATGATTCATTAAAATTTTTTAAAAAGTTAAAAAAAAAGAAGTTGGTGATAATGAAAAGCATTTCTTGCTATTCCTACTGACCAAATGGCATCCAAAGGAGGACTAGAGTTCCAGCTTTCTCTTAGTTCACAGCAAGTAGCAGCACCTGCCTCCCCTTGCAGGAAAAGGGGAAAGGGACGAACACTTTTCTCTACTGTCAGGTCCTATGAGTCACATACGCCAAAATCAAGATCCTGAACCTAAAAGTCTCTCAAATAACTGCAACTTTGAGGTTTTATTACCACTCTCCAATGGCAAATATTGGCAAACTGATTTCCACCAAGACAGGCACATATATTGTACTAATGCTCAATTCATAAAGCCAGATGGCATGTGCTAGGACTGAGGCATAAAATTTCCTCCTAGAGTAAAAGTTCTAAAACGATAAATCAGCAAAATGCTACTATAGTTTTTTTTTTATTTAAATTTTTTTATTTAAATTTTTTAAATTTCTGGACCATATCTGGCAGTGTTCAGGATTTACTCTTGCCTCTTTGCTCACAGATCGCTGTGGTGAGGTTCAGGAGACCATATGCAGTGCTGGGGATCTTGGTTTAGCCATGTACTAGACACGGGTACCAATCTCTGTACTCTCCACATTCGTTGTATGTTGTTTTGTCTCAAGTATGTGAAGAAAATCCTGCTTTCTGCAGATAGAAAAACTATTTTAATAAGCGTATTATAGAATTAATAAATTTTCTTCTGTGAAATGTTACCACCACTCAAAAAGATTCTGAAAGATCTTACACAACAAGGCATCTAAAACCCATATATTTTTGTTACAAGTATTGTTTTTGTAATAAAATCTTTGCATTTTGTTACATTTGAAGCCATATGATGGTTTTTGTACTTTAGATGGATCTATCATGACTTTTTAAAAATTTAATCTTATTTTTACAAAGTTGTTCACATGATTTATTACATTCAATATTCTATCACCAATCCCACCACCATACACCTTCTCACCACCATTATTTCCAATTTTCCCAACCACCACCAAGCCTACCACAATAGCAGGCCCTAAATCATTTATTTTGTATTGCTTGTTATGATTAATTTGCTAAAAACAATCAAAAAAATATTTCCTTAGAACAAAGTGTGTGAAGCTTGTTGGCATCTCACCCTGGAGCCATTAAGCCCTTGTATCAGAGATTACTAACATGTTGTTACAGGTTAAGCCTTGTGTGTTAATAATTTTTTCTTAATATTTTCTTAATCAATATTGGTTGCCTTCAACTTTGTGTCTCATCCAATGTGGTGTGCTACTCCTGGTATATCAGTGGTGTAGAGTATGAGATGTCACTCCAGAAATTAAAAATTCTGATGGGGTGATACAACTGGATTTAAATTTTAACTGGATGATGACTTTGGGGTCCGGAAACATCTCTGCAGCTTGCTGATCTCTTTTGAGATTTATTTATGAGTCTCTGGATCATGGCTGGTTAATGAGCTTATATGGCACCAGAGGCATTTCATGGGGATGACCGCCAGGCTCTCAGAAGGACAGAGGGACGAGGAGAGGTCACCCATTCCAGACTCCATGATAGTCTGGAGATTTCAGTCACTAAACCAACCATCATACCTGAGTTTTTCAACAGATTCATTCCTGAATGAAGCTCGTCTGAGCCCGTAGAGTCCGGCCATGAGCATCTAATCACAATTTTGTGTATCTTAAAGCAAATATTGGCTCTTTAGGTTCTGGGTGATTCCATTCTCTGGATCCTATAGAGGTCGATAAATCATTCTTGGGCGAAGTATGTCTTACAGAATTGAAGACACTTTAGGGAAACTTGAGGTGTTTCTTGGACTTGATGAATTTTGTATTATTAATTGACTAAGCATAATGTCCATGCTAACCTAGCAAATCCACTGTGTGGTTCTGGTGGAAATTGAGCACCGCCATTGTTACAGCTTGAAAGCAAGTCTAGTCAGTATATACTGACTTGGGTGTGATGTATTTCCTGTAAAACTGGACCGGAGCGATAGTCCAGTGGGGAGGGCAAACCCGGGTTCAATCCCTGGCATCCCATATGGTCCCCAAAGCACCGCCAAGAGTAATCCCTGAGTGCAGAGCCCCTGAGCATCGCTGGGTGTGACCCAAAAAGAAAAAAAAAGCTATAGCTTGCTGAAGCCTAGCCTTCTTCAGCTTCTTTCCTTTCATGTCCTCTTTTGTCCCCCCCAATTTTTGTTTGGTCTCTGGTACTGTGTATGATTCCTGAGCACTGAGCCAGGAGTGAGCACTGCTGGGTGTGACCTCCCCCCTGCCCACATGTAAAACACCCCCCAAAACAAATAAACCAAAAAAAAAAAAAAAAGACATGGTGTTAACGAGAGGGCTGGTTTCCTAGAGTTCTTATGAAGACTGTGGATTAATGTTTTTTCGGTCCACACCTGGTGACACTCAAGGCTTGCTACTATCTCTGTACTCAGGGATGACGCCCAGCAGGGCCTGGGAGACCACCTGGGGTGCCAAGCATCTAAGCAGGGTCAGCCTGCTGTACTGTGACTCCATCCCCAAGAATATACAGCTTTAGAGCCATCCATGTCTCTTGTTCCTGGAAGATTTTTCAGAGGCGCTAATCCCATGGATCCTCTAACAGACTTGCTGACATGCATCGCTGAGCTTGAACTTGGCTCTGGAGAGTATGCCGAGCCGTTCCTTCCCTCCAGATGCCTGTCTCTGTGCTGTCTCCTTTCTGAATGCATCAACGTGACAGTCTTTGGCTGGGAACTTATAGGAAGGAGTTCAGGGTGGGGATGAGTGTTGTCAAGTTGTTCTGTCAGCCCTGGTATAATTCTGACCTGATCTTGGTGCTTTCCCTTTATTCCTGCTCCCTTTTTAAAAAAAAAAAAAAGCCAGAATGCTGTTTGGAATATGGAAGGGGGTGAGAATAGCTTCTGCTCTTCTCCCAGATATTCGGTGCGTAATTGGGTACAGCGGTGCTCTCCAACTCGGGACTGGCGGTGAGCCAGGTCCCCAGCCCTGAACCACTGATTTCTAACGTCTACAACAGTCAGAGCACAATTGTGAATGAAGCCTTCGGCGTGTTTCCTTATTAGAAACGGTTTGGCTGAATGTGATGAAAGGGTTGGGAGTCTTTGGTGTGGAATCCTGTGGTTCTTCCACCCTGCGTCACACACACACACACACACACACACACACACACACACACACACACACACACACCCTGCGTTGCCCAGTGTAGACTGAAAACTTTTTGTGATTAAGGAAAGCAAGCAGGGGATTATGGAAGCAGATGCCTGAGTCACCTCTCTGCTTGGCCTAGAATCGTGATTCTGCTCCGGCTGTGTGACCAGGGATATCTGTCTTCCTCAGGGGTCTTCATCAATCAGATGAGGTTAACGAGGGCCAGAAAGATGGTACCAGGAGTAAGGCATTTGCCTTGATTGTGGCCAACTCTGGCTCGGTCTCTGGTACTGTGTATGATTCCTGAGCATTGAGCCAGGAGTAAACCCTGAGCACTGCTGGGTATGACCTCCCCCCTGTCCCCATGTAAAACACCCCTCAAAACAAATAAAAACAAAAGACATGATGTTAATGAGAGGGCTGCTTTCCTGGAGTTCTTATGAAGACTATGTGGATTAATGTATTTAAAGCATTTGGTGCTATTACATGAGAAGCTCAGATGAATCCTTGCTGTATCTTTTTCTTTTTCCCACTGTAAAAAACATCTTTATTCATTTTATTGGAGTATTTGTACTTTATACACAAAGATGAAGTGTTTTCAGAAACCAATTTCTTAACTATCTGACTTTCAGTAGAAATACTTCCAGGGTCAATAGGTAAAAGAGCAGAAATCCAAAACCAACATTTAATTCTTGAACCCAGCCGTAGAAAGCAAATCACTTCACAATGCTTTTTCAGCATGTCTGATTTGGGGGGGGGGGGGTAAACTCTAAATAATAGTGGTGAATCTTTTATTGAAACAATGAATCTAATCAAAGCAGATAGAGTGTTAGCTAGAGTTCATCTGCCTCACAGGGACGGGGAGGGGTGGGGGGTGGGGTTTTATTGGGGTTCTTCATGGTAAAAAATAAGTATTGGTAAAGGGAAATGTGTTTGATATTTACATGACTGAGACATAAACCTGAAAGCTTTGTAACCTTTCCCACAGTGATTCAATAAATTAAAAAAAAAAAAAAGATGAAGTGTTTTGAAAGGTAACATTGAATAATTAGTAGCTTTCCAGAAAAAAATAATATTCAAATACTTGCTCTCTTAAAAGACTTAAACAGTTATTTAAAGTGACCAATTTTCTTAGAAGATAGAAAATTAGAATTTCAACCTCCTCATATTGCAGAAAATTTTGGATTTCTTGAAGTTAGTTATATTTTTTTAGTACTGCGCATGTCAGTTTTACTCCAATGGTGTTTTTATTGTGTGTGTATGTGTGTGTGTGTTTGAAGCTTTATTATTTAGTATAGCATGTAAGCTGCTTGCCTTGCACATGGCTGACCCAGATTTTATCCCCAGCAGCCCATATGGTCCCCCAAACAAAAACAAACTTTATTATATTTATTTTGGATTTTTGAGCCACACTCCGCCCTACTCAGAGGCTATTTCAGACTCTGTTTAGGATTGACCCTTGGCAGTGCTTAAAGTACTGTGTGCTGTTGGCGGTCAAACTTGAGTCAGCCACATGTAAGAAGCCCCTTAATCCCTGTACCCTATGGCCTGTTCTGTCTCTCTGGCCCTTCTTTTAGGGTTTAAGTGAAGGGTTTGCATCATTCTGAGATGGAAATAATTTGATTGCAGACCCAGCTAGTGGTTATTAATAATAGTAAAGAATCTGCATTTCATAAATTTACATTCATAAAAAGGTTAGAGAATATTAACTCAGCTGCCTTCAGCACCGTAGAAAAATCTTTCCTAGGGTTGGATACCTTAAAACATGTTTGCTCCCATTCTAAGGAGATGGTAGCAATGCCAGATGGGAGTGAGCAGGAGAACCCGAAGGTGCCATCCTGCCGAGACACAGGGTGGTTCCCTGAATCACTGTAACTCCTTAAGGTGAGCATCCTTCTTCTGATGGGACACGTGTTCGAGGTCAGCACACAAACACATGGAGTGTACAGTCAAGGCTGTGAGTGGGTGGTTGGTAACTGCTTCCTGCCATGAGATGGTCTGTTCCCATGACAAGTCCTGAACAGATGAGCACATTACTAGATGTGGAGCATTACTACGGCACTGCAGCAGATAAGACCCGACCTTGCACAGCGGTCCTGAAGCGAGGCCCCTTGGAAGGGAGTGTCTGGACAAAGTTGGCAAGAACAGGGTGTCAGCACCAGGTGTCAGCACCAGGTGTCCAGCCTTGAGCCTCACTCAACCTCCTAATCACATGTGCCCAACACACAGAAACTGTCACGTATACGTTTAGCAGGTCATCCTAACTGCAACATCTAGCCTTGATTGGGATTGGACCAGGGCAAAGCAGAGTACCTGTAAAGCTGAGACTCTATAAAAATGCATGTATTTGGCAATAAAATGAACAGCCATCAGCTGCTCGCGGAGGGTGTTTCTCCATGTGCCCGTCATCCTTCGCCCCACATCTGCCCGGACCCGGTGCGCAGCATGTCTGGTCACCTCGGGGAAAAACTGTTCCCCAACAACTGGAACCCTTTCTTCACTGTTGACCGGAATCACTGCAGCCTGTAATGAGCACAGGGTTGCTTCTGATTGACAAACCCCAGCGGGAAAGCCTTGACTTGGTATCAGCACCATCAGTTGTGAGGCTTCTGTGAATGGCAATTTTAGTGTTTCTCCAAGAGTGGCTTACCAAGTCACTTATTTCTGAGTCTTTTCAAAAGAGGAACATTCGGAAATTAAGTGACTTAGATGCTACTGTCTTGGTAGGATTTTCATTTACATGGGGAATCATAGTATTGATCATAGTTTTGATCAACACACAATCATCGTCTTGATCACGGCTGTCCCCTTGGTACTGTTTGTTTCTCAACCCATCTCCCCCTTGGCCTCCATGTTCTTGATCTCATGATGTCTCAAGTTTTCTAAGAGAATCAAATTCTAGGAATCCTGACTCTCTTTCCGTTCACACCTTGACTTTTTCCTAAGTGGTTTTCCCAGAATAAAACCTGCCCTAAGCTCTTCAGGGTGATTGAGAGGCGGTAAGGATGTAGGAAACAGATGTGAATGTCATTGGTGGCTCTAGTTGATTCACATTAGATTCGGTTCCATATTCTAGTCTATGAGCATCCTGCAATTTATCCATTCTTCTGTTAACTGGATGCTTGGGTGAGCTCAATGATTATGAGTACAGCACTGCTGATGCAGTTGTCTTATGGAGAAAGGTACTCACAGTTGTAGTGGGATACGAACAGTTGGGTAGTGAGCTTCGGGATGATTTTAGGTTATGGATATGGGTCATTGTAGAAATTGTAATGTTGATTCAGCGGGGAGGGCATTTGCCTTGCACGTGATCAACCCAGGTTCGATTCTCAGTATCCCATATGGTCCTCCAAGCACCACCAAGAGTAATTCCTGAGTGCACAGCCAGGAGTAACCCCTGTGCATCACCAGGTGTGCCCCCAAAGGCAAAATAAATAAATAAATAAATAAAATTTATATTACCTTGGGCTGGAGAGATAGCAGGTACTTGCCTTACACACAACTGACCTGGGTTCAATCCCCAGCCTGCCAGCCAGGAGTAAGCCCTGAGCACATCCATCTCTTACCCATGAGGACCCTGGATAATAATGTATAATTCACCCTCTTAAATGCTCCTTGCACAGCAGGCAACAGGGCCATTGCCTTGCAGTGCATGCTTTAAGGTCTGGTTTTCACTTTGGTGTGGTGCCTCTCACCTTCTTCCACAAATGGCCTTGGAACTCGTTTTCTTCTCTGTGAAACATGAACAGTGATCTGGGTTGGTTTTGGGATTCCAGGGAGGTGGTTTTTCCAGAATGCTGACCAGTCAAGCTGTGAAATATATTCTTTTCCCTTTCCACCTTCTGTCTGACTCATCTAGAAAAGCATAAAAATCAGTGAATTTGCTCTGTAGGATGCCCTGAGGATAAAACTCTTAATAACTTCCCTGAAGCCCTCAAAGCAAAAGAGACAGTTCTTTGGTTTTCAGAGTACTTAGAACATAAGGGACGGATATTTAAGCAGCACGCTGTAGTGTATGACAGAAGGCAGATGTGGGCAGCTTGCTGGTGGATGATTAGGGGAGAGAGAGAGCGAGGAGAGGATGTTGGTTGAAGCATGAAAAAAGACCCAGGGTTTCCTAGTCGAACACAGCTGGACTAGGTTATTTTGGTGGTGAAATTGTACGGTATGTTTGATGACGAGTAAATTATTTGCTTTGAGGACTTGAGCAAGGCATATGGCGGTGTTGGTGGCCGGAAGGACAGTACAGTGGGGAGGGCACTTGCCTTGCACCTGGGCAACTCAGGTTCAATTCCCAGTACCCCATATGGCTTCCTGAGCCCCGCGAGGAGAAATTCTTGAGCACAGAGCCAGAAGTAAGTCCAAGCATCACTAGGTCTGGCCCCCAGACAAAACCAAAACAAACAAGACAAATATATTGTGGGAAGTCAGGCTAGAGAACTGGAGTAGAGACAAATCGCTTTGGTGCATGACCAAAGATCTTGCATGAAGCATGTAAGGCTGTGTCATGGACATCGTACTAGGATTGTGAGGGTGCCAGAGAGTCACAGGATGTTTGCTGGACCTTTGGCATCCACGCAACTGGACTTGGTTCTTCCTTGTGGTCTCAGTTCTCATGAGAGTATGTAATGTACTTGTACCTGTTTGAAACCAGAACACCTGTTAGTAGGGAATTAATCTAATTTGGGCCACACCCTGCAGCACTGAGGCCTAGCCTGCTCTCTGCTCTACAGTGCCCCCTGACTGTGTGCAGGGAAGTAGATGCAGTGCTGAGGATTAACTGCATGCAGAGCACATACCTTCCCACCTTCCTCCTATGCTCTCTCTCTCCAGTGCGGAACTCTGATGTTTGGAAGTTGTGGTTTCTATCATACTAAAGATCCGTCCTAAGGACTGGAATTGTTCCCTTGTGGTCAAAATAGTCTGGGCTGGGTGCCGTGTTCGCTGTTGCTACTGCCAAGCATACCTGGATATTCCTGCATAACAACCGAGTATTGTCAGATTGTCAGAGCCCTTTTCATGTACTGTGTTGTTTCTGTTTTCAGGGATCTAATACCTATCATTGCTGCCCTGGAGTATAATCAGTGGTTCACGAAGCTGTCCTCCAAGGATCTAAAGCTAGTAAGTAATTGAAGATGCCGCAGATGTTGTTTGTCTCTGCCCAAGTTTCAAAAACCTGATAATTATAAGAACGAGCTTGTTCTGCGCGATACTGGAGAGCTGCATATTTGTTATTTCTTAAGGAGATCCTAGAAATGGATCAGCATAACATTTCATCAAGTGTGTAATGGGAGACTATTGAAAGAAGTACTTCCTCATGTTTTTAGCTGCTTCAAGCAATTTTAGGTGATGATCAGAAAGATATTTCTGTCTTTTGAGTGTAACTTTAGGACATGCACATTTTTTTTTATACTCCCCCTCCCCCAACTCCCCCTGTAAAAGAAACCAGCAAATGTCGCTATCTTGCATTCCATCTCCACAAAGCTTTTCTTCTTATGCAAACAGCAGAGTGTTTCCAGGTTATGCCATGGATGAGCCATGATAGATAATCTTCATTTTCTATGTGAGTTTGGGGGAAGAATTATTTGGAAATATAAAATGAAAGCAAAACAGGGAGCTCTGTTGGTTTTCATCTGCTAAATGGGGGAAGCACATTTATGATGTTAGTGATGAGTGGGAGATAAACTCTTTTGTGTTGTTTTGTAAGTGGGAGGCAGCTCCGGGGAGAGACGCTTCTGTGTAGTTTAGGAAGGGGAAGAATCCAGATGTTATTGTATTGAGACTCTTACATTCAAGCCTGGGCTGGAGCTATAGCATAGCGGGTAGGGCGTTTGCCTTGCACGCGGCCGACCCAGCGACCCAGGTTTGATTCCTCCGCCCCTCTTGGAGAGCCCGGCAAGCTACCCAGAGTATCTCGCCTGCACGCCAAAGCCTGGCAAGCTCCCTGTGATGTATTTGATATGCCAAACACAGTAACAAGTGTCACAATGGAGACTTTACTGGGCCCGCTTGAGCAAATCGATGAAGGGGGGGGGGGGGAGGGAAGACAGTGACAGTGACATTCAAGCTTCTAACTCTCAGAGCTCCTGGAAACTGCTGGTTTACTATCTTCAGAATGAAGAGATAGGATTTGGTTTTGGTTTTGGTTTTGGTTTTGGTTTGTTTTGGGGGCCACACCTGGCAATGCTGGGGCTTACTCCTCTCTCTGAACTGAGGAATCGCTCCTGGCCGTGCTCGGGGCACTGGTTGGGATTCCAGGATCTAATCAACCAGGGTTAGCTGCATGCAAGGCAAATGCCCAAGGGTCTGTGCTATTGCTCTGGCTTCAGGGGTTAGGATTTTGATTGAGTCATGGCTCTGTAGAAAGTGGAGGGGTCAGATTTGCTGTTGGGCAGGCTCCTGCTGTTTCTGGGAGTTTCCCTGGGGGGTGAGTGTCCGAAGGACTTACCAGCATGAGCAGAGCTGGACTCTTCGGGGAAACAGGCTAGGTTTTGGATTCTGTCTCCTTTATAAGACTGTGTGACTTTCAGTAAGTTGCTTGACCTCTCTGGCTCATCCCTTCACTATTATTGTGAGCTAGTTGGAGCTGATGTCTTACTGTTCTTTAGCCAGCGAGTATCAGTGCAGCTCATAGTAGCTCCTCAGTAAAAGTTGGCTCAATAAATACAGGTCAAGTGAGTTGTTGGTTGAGTGAGTCAGCCGGCCTGATTTGCAGTGTAGCTACCTCTTACTCTACCTAATGGAGATGAGGAAATGATGTGTAGAAATTTGAACATTGCCTGTCACTACACAGATCTCTCCTATGCAGTCATGATTATTATCTTCGCAATTCGACTTGCATAAATTTTGAGAAATGAACAAATGTGGGAGCATAAATTATGGAAACCATGGGGGGCAGAGGGGGGGATGCCTGACATTATTGGTTAAGGAAAGGAGGTGGTAGAGAAGTCCAGTGGGCAGCCCAGGAATGGTTAGGGAATTTTGCAAAGAGTCACTGATAGTGGCTGCTTGCTGGCATGGGGCCAGTTTACAGGATTGAGCCAGGGTGCAATGAGACAGACAGAGAGAGATAGAGAGAATGTCTTTCTAGCTGAGGGAGCCACATGGCACCAGCCTTGTCCAGTGGGGGCTGGGGGAGGAAAGGAGAGAGAGAGAGAGAAGAGGGAGGTGAGAGGGGGAAGGGCGCTGGTGGAATGGGTAGACTAGCCCAGGGCTGTTTGCCCAGAGAGAACAAGGCTTTTATAACCAACAGTTTTCCTGGCTCATGCAGACATTCACGTGAGCTTAGGATTTTCACAGAGCGCGAGAAAAGAAGGATGCTGTGATCCCATTTTTGGAAAATGTCTCGACTGACTGACTAGCCCAGGAATGTGTCCGGCCCTTGGTGGGCCCTTGGTGTTGCCCTTTTGTCATTGTTCTTCCGGCAGTCTCACCTTTGGGCCGATTTAAAGGTGGAGAAAAGGCAGTATACACCTACACGTTGTCCTGACAAGACCCAGCACGCGGGTGCTTAGAGGCCGCGGGGCGTGGGGGTTCTGGGGTGGCAGGAAGGGGAATCACAGTGAGCTGAGGACGCCTTCACTGTCTCTCTACTAAGCAGATGTGAATGCAGAAATACTTAGGTATTTAAGTATTTGCTACTTAGAAATGAAAACTGCTCTTTGGCACTCTTTGCAGAAGGAGATTTTCAGAAGGATAGCAAGTGTCCACTTAACATTATGGAGCGGTGATCCATTGATTTGCTTAAAAAAAATAATATTTCCCCCTTTAATTAGAGGCCAAGATGCTGAGGAGTGAGTAGCCCTCTGGGAAGCTAGACGCTAATTGCCACATTTTGTTTAGTATCTAAGTTCAATGAAATTCTTTTTTGAGGACCTCCCAGATAGTGCTCACCGGGCGCCCCTCCCAATGATTTTCACCAGCCGGGCTGCGGAGTCTGCACCCAGGTTGTGGACTGCTCAGGCCCTGCTGTGAGGGGGTTCCCAAGGGCCTCCCCAACAATGTTGGGTCTCCTTGCAATGCTTGAGAACCAGGTGGTTCTAGGGCTAGAACCTGGGTCTGGCTCATGCTAGGAGATTGCAGCCAAGTCTCAGTGAAACCCTCTATTGTTTCATCTCCTGGTATTCTTCAGTGTAAAAAAAATAATAATAATAACCCATACTTTTTATATTAGACAATCAGGGATGACTTGTTACACCTCTGCCCTACTAACATGCTGAAGAAAATTTAGACATATCTTTCATCCCTTTTCTTTAATAAATGTTTATGACGGTAATTATACCCAATGAGTAAATGAAATCCTAGCTTTGAAGCCTTGCTGGGAGAATTTGCTTTGCTGGAGGCTGTGTGAAGTAGTTCTGCAAAGGTAATGGTCACTATGGAAATGAGGATAATTCCTGCAAATACATTGTTTTCTGAGTAATCACTTTTGATCATGGCTACACAGAGAAAGATCAATTTTCCGGCTTGTATATTGGAAGACCAGGAATGGCACCCACCAGGGTCACCCGCTCAGAAATCCCCACCATCAGTGTGGATGTGGATTGCCAGTGGCAGGCCATTGGCGTTAATTTCCCCTCTCCCTCCCCAGCCAGTGGGAGGCATTAGAAGCCCAGGAAGAGTTGGAAAGCATCATTATTGATTGATGAAGTAATCAAACAGGATATTAGGGTTGTAAGAGTCTCAGATGCTGTAGTTTACTTCGTTTCAGATGCTGTTGGTGTAGTTCCAAAGCAGATTTTCTCAAAGACGAGAGCTTGCTACTTTTTATACACCCAATGATGGTTCATCCAGTTGGGTATTTGTGATCTGGTAAAGAACAGTAATAGATTAAAGGGGTGTGTATGTGTGTGTGTGTGTGTGTGTGTGTGTGTGTGTGTGTGTGTATTTTACTGGGCGTTGAGCCTCATGGATGCAAAGCAGTGCTTTACTGCTGAGTCATACCTGCCTCTCGGTTGTATTTTATTTTTGCTTTTTTGAGTTACACCCGGCGATGCACAGGGTCACTCAGGAATTACTCCTGGCGGTGCTCAGGGGACCATATGGGATGCTGGGAATCGAACCCGGGTTGGCCGCATGCATGGCAAATGCCCAACCCACTATGCTGTCATTCCAGCCCCTCTCAGTTGTATTTTAAGAGCAACTTTTTTGACTACGGTACGCTATGGCAGATAGTTAGGGTTTTCAGATTTAAAGGATATATATGGCATAATGGTTTAAATAGACCTGCATTTGCAATGAGATTTTAAATCTTTTTTTGTTTTTTTTTTTACATTTGTGTCTAAAATGAGCCAGCTTTTTATGTTTAAATAATTTTAAAATAAGGATCCACCTTTATTTTGGAACAGAACAGGATGTTAATATATAATTATTAATAAATCCCTTTCTTAAAGCAAACATTAGGCGCAATTTTTTCGCCAGGCATGACTCTTTTACTGTTTCTAGCCCCAGACTTTTTGCCATGTACATTAGCCATTTCAGTTGCTGTAATTGTTGCTAAACGTTTTGTTAATTGTGCTTTAAACTTTTTCTCTTATTTCTTTCACTGTGCCAGGGTTTGAACCCAAGGCCATATGAGCGTAGACCTTGCGTGTATGGCTGATCCCCTCCCCTACCCCATAATCGTGCATTCTTTTTAACATTCTACCCCAGTGTTTTTAGCTGTTTGACAGCTCTAATCATTTTACAGTCGTGTAATTTTAAAAAGTAATATTCATTGACATGAGACCATTATTTATTGAACTCTTTATTATTAGGTTATTTCTCAACCTCTTTAGAGAAGAGAGATTAGGAAATTTTAATTATAGCTATCAAATAGCTTTCTATCAAATACTGACTCAGCCTCCCTTTAAAGTTTCTGACATATTTAGACCTTAATTGTCTTACCTATAAAGAGGGAATAATAATACTTAATAGTCTTATAATGAAATATTCGTGAAGCTTGAGTCCAGTGCCTGTTGGAGACAAGAGTTCGGTAATGTGATATTTCTCATGCTAGAGAGATAGTCCAGGGGTGAAGGCTCTTGCCTGGAGTGCTCAGCCCTCTTTGGTATTTCACTGCATCTCAGGCCCTGAGTTCTGCCAAGATTGACCATACCGGGACAGAGCTAGGAATAAGCCCTGAGCACTGCCCAGTGTGGACCACAGAAACCAAAAGAGAAAAACCAAGAGAGACATTTATTAATATCATCATTGCTCTCTCTCTCTCTCTCTCTCTCTCTCTCTCTCTCTCTCTCTCTCTCCCCATCTCTTTATTTGGTTTTGGGGCCACACTTGGCAGTACTCAGGGATTGCTCTTCACTGAGCTTAGGGATCATTCTTTGCAGTGCTCAGAAGACCATATGGAGCACTGGGGATCGAACCCAGGTCTTCCATGTGCAAGGCATATACCCTCTCTGCTGGAGTATCACTCTGGCCCCTTATCATTGTTCTCTCATGGTCTTTAGTTTTATACTTTCTTTGAAATATCTCTGACTATCACTGCCTATGAAAATTCCTTTTGGTTCTCTTAAGATTGGAGGTATGTTCTATACCATTACCTTTATAAGAACGACCTTGCCATTATAAGAATGACCTTCTTATAATTTAAAAAATAAACATTTTTTTTCATTATGTATTTTTTTCTGATTCCTCTGCTAGGTGGTGTACCCTGTCCTTAACATCATAGAGTTCCCCAAATTGTCACTATGATGGTGCATAATTTTATTTATTTTTTTCTTTTTGGGTCACACCCAGCTATGCTCAGGGGTTATTCCTGGCTCTGCACTCAGGAATTACTCCTGGCAGTGCTTGGTGGACCATATGGGATGCCGGGGATCGAACCCAGATGGGCATCGTGCAAGGCAATAGCCCTACCCGCTGTGCTATCCCTCTGGCCAATGGTGCATAATTTTAGATGCTCAGTTGAGGTTTGTCTTTGTTTTCAGAAGTGAGATGAGGTGTTTGGGACTGCGCCCAGTGGTGCTCAGTGTCCACTCTTGGTTCTGTGCTCAGGGGTCACTTCCAAAAGTGCTCAGAGAACCATATGTGGTACTCAGGATCAAAATTGTATCAGTCACATGCAAGATAAGTAGCTTAAACCTGGTCCTCACTCTCTATCCCTCAGTTTAGGTTTGTTGAGTAAAAGGATACAAAAAATGATTTATTCAATCAAAACTTTAGATTTGCATAGATTTGTAACCGAGAGCTGAGATTGTTTTTAGATTTGCAGCATCTGATCACAGAATGCTTTTCTCTTCCAGTCCAGTGATGTCTGCGAACAGATCTTTAGAGTGGTCAGCAGATCTAATCGATTGGAAGAATTGGTGTTGGAAAATGCTGGACTTAGGACGTGAGTATTTTTCTGAATGTTCGAATCTGTTGCTTTCAAACTTTTATCCCTTCCTCTCAAAGCCAATATATAATTAGAAGAGTGAAACTGCAAATACCTAGTGCTTTGCCTTTTAAAAAATTCCCATTGTTTATCACAGAGATTAAGAGTTTTCTAAGTGCTTTGCGATTGCATGACCTGATAATCTTTATTTTTTAAAATGAATCACCATAAGGTACAGTTACAAACTCACAAACTTTACTGATTACATTTCAGTCATACAGTGATCAAGTACCCATCCCTCCACCAGTGCTCATTCTCCACCACAAATGTTCCCAGTATCTCTACCTCACCTCCATCCTATCCCCCCTCTCCCCTATCTCTGTGGCAGGGACCTTCCCTTTTACTCTCTCTCTCTCCTTTTGGGTGTTATATGACCAGATAATCTTGAAGGTGCAGCGCATGGTGTAGTGGTTGAGAGCAGGGGACCTGGGACAAATACTTTGAGTCACTCCTGAAACTCGGTGCCTCAGTCTCTGCATCTATAAACTGGGGGTAGTTTTGCCTGCCTTACAGCGTTAGTGTTGTAGGAATGATATATATGAAATGCTTTGGAAGGTGTCATTCATGTTCTGTTTTTTAAAATATTTATTTTATTTTTATAAAGTTGTTCACAATAACTTCTTACATTCAGTATTACAACACCAATCCCAGCACCATCATACCTTCCCACCACTATTATTTCTAATTTTCCCACTATCACCCAAGTCTGCCCCCAAAGCAGGTACTAAATAATTTGTTTTGTATTGCTTGTTATGAATAATCTGCTAAAAATGATCCCAAAAAGTTTCCTTAGAGGAAAATGTGTGAAGATTGTTGTATTTCTTCCTGGAGCCCTTAAGCCCTTGTCTGAGAGATTACTAACATGTTTTTACAGGTTGAACCTTGTGTGTTAATATATATGTATTTTATTTTATTTTTTTGATCGAAATGCGACCGGTTGCCTTCTACTTTACACTCTATTAATTGTGGAGCACTACTCTTTCATTTATGTTTTTGATGTTAGCTTTTATGATGACTAATGATAATCATGGTAATATTTTATATAATCTTACTGCTTTGCTTTGAATAAATTTTGGTTGTTTCTCTCTCCTTGAAAAATTTCACCTATTTATACAGTCTTCATCTAGTGGTTCAGTCTGACTGGGAGTCGGGAGAGTTTGAATTGGCTAGAACAGAGTCAATTACTAAGAAAGGAGGACTGAAAATTTTATAATCATAGCTCTTGGTGTGTTATTTTAAGTTAAACATAGCTAAAATAGTGATTTTGAATTTTCTACCGTTGTTAAAATATAGCGCTAGCAATTGTCGCTTTTCGACTCAGTAATTAACACAGTTCTGCACTCAGGAGTATTGCAGAAGGAGAAGCAAGGTGTAGTGGGAACAGCCCATTGCAAGTCTGATGTACAGTAGGTTCAAGTTTGGAACTTTGTTATTGTTTGTTTCTTTATTATTTTCAGCTCCAAAAGGACCAAGTAGTTCTGTTAATAGCCTCTTACAGTGCATCTTTGAAGGGGTAGTCCTTTTTTTTGCCTTTTGCTCTTGAATGAAATGTTAGCTAATCAAAACATGCCGTGCCCTGTTGGGGCTGGATCGATAGCACAGCGGGTATGGCGTTTGCCTTGCACGTGGCCGACCTGGGTTTGATTCCCAGCATCCCATATGGACGCCTGAGCACCGCCAGGAGTAATTCCTAAATGCATGAGCCAGGAGTAACCCCTGGGCATTGCCAGGTGTGACCCAAAAAAACAAACAAAAAAATAGTGCCCTACTATGTGGATTTTCACTTTCCCAAATGAGGATATATTCGGGAGGGTGCACTGACAGCTTTATGACAAATATATTTCTATTGTTGAAAAAAAGTCTTCATTTGCTATTTCAACACAGCTTTTCTAGCTGTGCATGTTTCATTTGAGCAGTTTTACGTTTTGTGGTGTTGACTCTCATTGTTTGATTTGTCTTTGCAGAGATTTTGCACAAAAGCTCACCAATGCTCTAGCGCATAATCCCAACTCTGGCCTGCACACTATCAACCTTGCCGGCAACCCCCTGGAGGACCGAGGTACCAAAGCAGCCCCATGTCCACTGCTGTCAGAATTGAAAGAGGATGGGGGGTGGGGGGAGGGCAAGGGTGGGTCTTTGATGGAGCGGAAGTTGGAATTATCAGTCCTGCCTCTGCTTTTGTTGACTTTCTTCTTTTCATCCCTTAATGAAAGTGTTCACACTGAAATTTTGTCATCTGATTAATTTCTTTCCAAGCGAAACAAAGGAAAGCAGGATGTTATTTGTAAACTGTTGATTTGTTATTTGTTACAGCAGAAACAATTGCCACAGACGTGGCAGCCTAACAGGCTGCAAATTTATTCTCTCGGAGTTTGCTTGGCTCTGTCATCGGGGTCCAGTCGAGCTGGACTTTCAGTGGCTCGGGAGACTCAAGTCAGCTGGGATCTTGTCCGTGACCTGGGGATCGTATCAAGCTCCGTGGGCTATTGGCCGAGTTCATTTTCTTGGGGCTGAAGGCTGGAGGCTGCTGTCTGCTCATTAGCTGGCCACCCAGTGCTCCTCACAGTCTTGAGTTTGGGTTGTGTTCGGAGCACATCTCTCTGAGACTTGGCTTTCATTAGAGGGGGGGACAGCATTTGAGTCACTCCTGGCAGTCATTCTGGACTTACTCCTGACTCTGTGCTCAGGGGCCATCCTTGTGGTGTTTTTGGGACCTAGATGTGGTGCTGAGGAATCAATCTGGGTGCAGGCAGGACAAGTTCCTTAGTGTCTTCTTACCATCTCTCCAGCCCCTGATGCTTTGCTTTCTTGTAAACCATCCACTTGCTTAGGTCAGACCTACCCAGGACAATCAGAGTCGATTGATTTGTCCAGTTTATTCGTTAGAAACCCAATCATGTAAGTGGTATCCTGCTCATCACCACCCACACATTTACGGAAAGTATATAAGGCGATTCTTGAAGAGAGTAGCGATCTTGGAGACAGTCCCATCATTCTGCCTACCTCAACTCTCTTGAACATTCCATCGGATTGGAGTGAGTGCAGGGAAAAGTCGGAGAGCATGGTGTGGCAGGAAAATGTTTCATTTCAAGTTTTTGCCTGGAGCAAGAGAAGACTTTCATTGATTTCTGTTTTTGTTGTGTTGTTTTGGCTTGGCGGGTTGGGGGTTCCTCCTGATGGTGCTCAGGGCTTAATCCTGGCGCTGCACTCTGAGATCACTCCTGATGGGGCTTGAGGGAACAGATGTGATGCCGGGGATCTACCCTGGGGTGGCTGTGTGCGAGGCTAGCTCTGTATCCACTGTTCTATTTTTCTGGCTTCAAGTCTTACTGATTTTTGAGGAGTTTCTTGAATTCTCAGGTGCACATTGATAGACAGGTCTAAGAACAAAGAGCTTATCTCCAGAAGGAATATTTTCTCTTCATCAGCTGTTACAAATGTGTTTTCCAGTATTGTTGAATAAGAACCTTTGCTCTTGAAATAGGTATTTGATCAGGATTAGTGATTGAATTGAGAGACTCAGATGTACTCCCCTTCCCATAATAGACTCTGTTCTATATTGGAGAGATGCACATGTGGTGTTCAAGTCAAATTGAACAGTAGCTTCCCAGGGGTTGGAGAGATTGTACATTGGGGAGGGCACTTGCCTTGCCTGTAGGTGACCAGGTTTGACCCCCAGCACCTCATATACCTCCCCAAATCCTTCCAGGAGCGATCCTTGAGTGCAGAACCAGGAATAAGCACCCCAGGGTGTGACCTACCTTTCTCCCCAAAGAAAAGAGGTGCTTCCCAGCTTTTACAGTCGTGATTCCAAAGGAGAGGTCAGACTTTCCTTTTTGAAATCTAGACCATCTGGAGATACCCTCTAGTAGAGGCCAAAGTAGAAAAATAATGAATTCCTCTCTCTGGAGAAATGGACTTTCTCAGTGGTATGGTCATATTTTTTAGGGGAAACTAATATTCTCCTTACTGCTAGTGTAGATTAGTCTAGTGCCATGGGAAGTGAGTATGAGAAAGCAGAGAACATGAAACAGAGCAGCGCCAGGCCAGGAAGGGAACTCTCGGGGGTGCCAGGAGAATCATTTCCACACCCCGGTGCAATGCCCCTTCTAAACCTCGCCAGCTTGCACCAACCATCATGTCAGAGGGAAGGTGGTCGGCGGAGACCCCCACGTGAGTGGTGGGACTGGCAACGCTGCGGCCACTCTGGAAACTGGTTAGACGGTTTTTGCCAAGTGCAACCCAGAGTTGCCACACCACCCAGCTATTCCGTTCCCAGGTATCGCCCTTGAGAAATGGGGCCTGCATCTACCAAAGACTCGTGAGCGAATGTTGGCAGCTATTCTTAATAGCCCCCAAGTGGAAACGCCCCAAATGCCCATCACTGGTGAGTGGATAAACCAAATGTGGACTCGCTCGGTGGTAGAACACTATTTGGCAACAAGAGAATAATGCTGTTGGGACTGGCTGAGACATGGTTGATATGAAAATAAATAAATAAATAAATAAATTAAATAAATAAAACCCGGTAAGTGGAAGGAACCAGACCCAGAGTGCCACATTCTGGGGGCCGCCAGGAATGTCCGGTCTAAGTCCTTTCCTGATCTGTGTTTCCTGGGCATCGTGACTGAGCTACACTGCCCTGCTGATGGATTCAGAACAGGCCCACCTACCAGACCCTCAGCGTTGGCTTCATTGTCAGGGATTGCTAGAATTTCATCCTGCTGCTTAAGAATTAGATGCAGCCATTTCTTCTCTTCTAGCTTTTTCCTGCTCACTCCCACTCCTGTTTCTCATCCTCCCTAGATTTGATTGGTCCCCGCCTGTCCTGGTACCCCACAAAAATGGAGGCCAGAGGAATACAGCTGGGGAAGGTGTTTGCGTTGCTTGGAATCACCCCTAGCACCTCTTCTGGTCCCCTGAGCCCTGCCAGGAGTGATCCCTGAGCAAGCCCTGAGCTCTGTTGGGTGTGGCCCAAACCCCTCCATCCCCCTCCTCCCAGAAATGAAACTTACTTCATTACTCCTTCCAGATTTTTATTTGAAAATCTCTTTTATTGCAGTAACATTGCATTGTAACAAGTGTCAGGAGTGTGTGACTCTGTTACATTGACCACTCACAGTTCAGTTTTGTCCTTTGCCCCATGTGGGGTGTGTGCATTGGGGACTGAACTCGCTTGGGTCATCACTCACGCATGGCCCGTGCTGACCACTGAGCCACACCGCTCGCTCACTCTGTGTGTCTGCTTTCATTGCACTTAACCCTTTTTTGGAGGTGGTGTGGAGAGGGTGGGTGGGTGTGCTTCCAGCAGTACTTGGGGGATATCAGACCTCAACCAGAGGATATCCAGTCAAGGGGTGCTGTAGCCCTTGGAGTCATGTCCCAGGCCCTTTTTAATTGCACTTGAAAATCAAGAACCTTAAAGACATTTTACGGAGTCTCAGTGTGTTCAAAGATGATATTTCTTGACGTTTTTCATCTTCGTACAGTCCACCCATAGCTGACAGAATGAATCATGGGTCATTCCAAGATCATTCCTGAGCTTCTGTGTGTGTTTGGATTCTTCGTGTGATATCTCCTCACTTATGTGCAGGTGTTTGTGCCATTGCTGAAGATAAATTCTCAAGCTAAGACTTTCTGGTTCCTGCGACTTCTCGACTCGTTCATAGCTGTAAATGCTGGTCTGGCACTTGGGCAAATGCCAGCACTGTATTTCCTACCTTTCTTCATTCTGGAACTCTTAGTTTCTAGAGCCTTCTGAACACAGTTTCTTTATGGTTGTTTTATTCAGGCTGCGTTTGTGAAGGTGATTGGTAGCTTTTCTGCTCATGGATGTGAATTCCACAAGAATAAATCCAACTGAGAATAAAACACTTAAGAAGAATTTCAATCTGAGGACAAATTTGTCATGGTTTTTTGTTGCTGAGGTATTCCACGTTAATATTTTATGTTGGAAAGCAATAAAAAAAACCAAAAGCATGATAGGGGATTTGTAATTGAATTTTATTGTGCATCAAGGGGACCAAACCAGGGGAGATTATTTCCAAAGAAACTTTAAGAGAAACAAAGCAAGTAGGTTGTGTGCGATCGGGCAGCAAAGAATTCTGAGGAATCAAAACAGCAGGTGGAATTTGATTTTTGGCCCAGAACCCTTCACCAGGGGAGGATCCTTTCTTGAAGACTCTTGGAAAGTTGGGTGCTATGTTCTGTGTGGAAGTCGATGCAACTCCTCTGGGACCTGAACAGCTCGCCTTTTGCGGCGTGCGTACAAAGGCCAGGAAGCCTTGTTTGTTCGAAGTGCCGCTGCTGGGTTAACGCAGAGGATGTAGATGGCAGCGGTGTAGACTGAGTAATGACCCTGCTCTCTGCAAGAGCCGTGCAGGCAGCAAGAGGACTCAGGACACAGGCGTCCTCCTCCCCTCTGGGAGACCAGCACAGGGACAAGCTGGTTCCACACTGCAGGTCAAAGACCTGTTAGCAGGTCTTGAGATGCGTTGACTAGGTCATGAGAATGATTTCTTTATCTATTTATTTGTTTATTTTGCTTTTTGGGTCACACCCAGCAATGCTGAGGAATTATTCCTGGTGGTACCTGGGGGACTGTATGGGATGCCGGGGATCGAACCCAGGTCGGCCGTGTGTTGTGCGAGGCAAACGCCCTATCCGCTTTCCTATCACTCTGACCTGTGAAGTGTCTTTTAATAAAAGGAAATGGAATAGAAAATAATAGTGCGGGATCACCACCCCCCTCCCCCATCCACCCCCATGTGTGAATGACTATTAACTGAGAGACCAGAGATAGAAGTGTTGGAGAGAATGCTTCTTGCAGTGTGTGTGTGTGTGGGGGGGGGGGGGGGGGGAGGTGTCAGTGCGGGTGACCATTATGGGAAGCAATAGGAACACTCCTTAAGAATTAACAAGGCTGGAGAGCTAGTCCAGGGTGAAGGTTCTTGCCTTGCCCACGCCAACCTGGTTGGATCCCTGGCACAGCTATGAGTGGTCCCTCTACATGGTGCCAGGAGTCAGCCCTGAGCACCACTGGATGTGACCCCCAAACAG